TAACAGCATTTCAATTTTTCTTCATTGAATATTATTTGGTTCTTCATACTAAGAAGCAATTGGATGTATGCGAAAGTTTTTAAACATGCATTTACATGTATCGCTGATTCCCTACAAATACCTTTGCCGACCTCTCACCATCATCACAGTCTAGAACGATATTAGAGCTACTGATAGGAACAGTAGAAAAGGTTTTCTAAAAGCTTTTTTTCTAAAAGGTTTCTCTTTTTCTAGACATTGGTTTTCTTTGCTTGAATTCGGTTGATAAGAGAACATTATTCCGGCTTACGTTTCGGTGTGGATCGCCTTCTTCAGAGCGTGGAATAATCGGAGCAATTAATGATTGTGCGACCAAACCCACCAACTACCTTACAGGAACTCGAGACCTCAGAGGTCATCACGCATTTGTGAATTGGGCCACTTACCGTTGATCAGTCCGATCCTCGCGACCACCCAGAAGCCAGCAGCGGTCCAGTAAGCTCTTCGGACTGGATGTGATTCAGACTCACTGGTGGAAGGCTAACCCAATATACGGCCCCAGCTCCCGCGTGATTGTGATACATTCTTCCTTCCGGTTCATTTTTGGTCTAGAGACTTGAATCCAGAATGCTTCGAGGGTTTTTCGTGCGGGTGTTCGCGATTCTCATGCCAAGACCTCGGCCGTGACCTCGAAAGCGGCTCCATAATGAGTTTCCACCCTGTGGGCGCCCAAGGCAGATGATATGCGTGACCTGACCTTGCCCTCTAAGTGCTCCTTGATGCGTACGCATAGCGGTCTTGATGTTTCGCCGATGTATACCTCTCTGCAACTGCAACATGTGATCTTGTAGGCCACCCGTGCGATTGTACAATCGCCTTTCTTGCCGGTTGGGCAGACCGCAGAGTTAGGGGCAGCAATGAGCGATCGTAGAGTCGATTGCGAACCAGTCGATGCTTCAGGTTGTAGGGGCACATCTATAACGGCAATTAGATTTTGCAGACCCGACCTCCTCAGGCACCTCCATATGGAATTGCTAAGCTCATCAGAAACAAATGGTACTATGAACGAAATTTCGCCGTTCAGTGAGGTACCACGGGGTCTGTTGTTGGTGACCGTATTTCTTTCTCTGTAGGAGGTCGAACAATGTATGTATCCATTGAGTGCAGCTATTTCGTGTGCCATCTTCACTGATTCTTTTCGCCCTTTCTCTTCACTGCAGACACTGGCTGCTGTACGGAACATGTTCCTTACAACGGACCGCTAGTCTGAAAAGGATGAGCCGAGGGGCAATGCACGATGATATTCTTGTTGCTGGGCTTCCTCTACCATTCGTTAAAAGCATTCCGCTGTGCAACCTCACTTGTACATTCAAAAATGAGAGCCAGCTTCCAGAGGGTCTATCTCGTGTCAGTCGGATGTGCTCGGATTGGGTGTTAAGTGGGTCAAAACACATGCCCACCCTTTCTTGTGTCGAGCAAACTACGAAGCAGTGATCAATATAACGGCAGTAGAGCACGGGGCGGTGTTCCAGAATTGGCGCTTCAATTTTGGACATAAATGCTATGGCCAGAATAGGCGCTAGACGTTGCCCATAGCTAAGCCCCTGATCTGCTCGAAATACTCTCCCGATCACCTGAAGATGTGGCAACTATGACATTCTTTCATCAATGACATCACTTGATCAGTAGAGGATCCATGCATGTTGATCATGCTTTGATACTGATTTAGCAGTTCTAGTACTGCTTCCATGGCGGAAGCATTACTCACGTTAGTGTAGAGACTCTCTACATCAAATGATTCCATGACGCAGGCACTGCTGGGTTGAAGTGCCTGACGCTTGTTCAGGAACATCTGGGTGTTTGTCAGATGGGATGGTATGTATTTGAGAAGCTGCACCAAGATTTCATTGAGAAACCATCCCATCCGATCAGTGGAACCACCCACGACGCTGACAAAGGGCCAAACTATTATCGATGTGTTTTGTTATGATAATTGATCATGCTTTGATACTGATACTGACGTCAAAAGTTGCTATGATGACGGGGCTTACCACGAATTCTTCTTCTTTGTCACTAACAGATAATCTGATGGTCCGGGACTTGATTAAATCTTGAAGCAGCTTCAGACCACAAGCTTGCTCTCGGCTGATGTTGGATGGCATGCGTTGTTTTTGGTATGTGTCGAACACTTTGAATACTTCATCAGCGAATATTCTAAAGCTGACATTGGAACTAACGTTGGGCTCCTGTTGTTTGAAGAACGTGCGAGGAAATGGCATTTCGCGTTAAGGGCGTTTGTATTAGGGCCAGGTATGAAGGAACCGCTGTCGATCTCAGCCTTGTACCGGAGCCGGTCTTGGAGGTCATGTAAGTTGCATATAATTCTGCGCTGAACAAAGGTGGAAATGGACTGAGATGGTGAGAAACTGGGGCCCAATTCCAATAGAGAGCGTGCGCAGTCCGGTGAAGGGAAGTCTCTCAGCACTGTGACTCTGGATCTCGTCAAATCCGATTGCTCTGTCTTACTGGTTGCGCGTTCTGCGGGAACCCGACCCCTCTTTGAAATCATGAACTGCGATATGGAGTGGTCTCTAGACACTCCATATCGCAGTTCATGAGAGATAACCTAAGAGCGTTCGTTTTCTACAATGGTCTCATATCTCTACTGCTTGTTCTGCTGCATCCAGTTGTTCTCTTAGGGACAGGCTTTCATGGTACCATGAACAACTGTCAGCTCTCCTGCAATTAGAGGACAGCGACCGGAACGGCTTTCAGTCTATCTTTACCGATTTTGACGCTCGTTCTCATGATGCAAAGAACACTTAGGTCAGCTTACGGGATACTGCCTGGGATACCGTTTCTCACCACTCCCCTCACCTCGCTCCTTCTGACTGTTACCTTTTTGGACGCCTCAAGCAGTTTCCGACCACAAGAAGTTCAGTGTATTCAGTGATCTTGAAGGCACTGTTCACGACCGAAATGGTTTCTCATATTCCCTCTTGAGACAAACCTCCGACTCTCAAAGATAGTACAGGGAACGCTGTAGGGTCGAAAAGCGGTCTAGATAGGGAGCAATGTGGATTCCGAGACTGGCTTAGCCAACTTGCACACTCAAAGGCGGACACGTTCACATGACCTAGTAGGGGCTGCACAGGATGCACCATTCGCAACAGGGCCCACAAGTTGTGCGCAGGCAGCTTACTGTTGCCAACTGTACACAATGGCGAACACATTTGGGCAGTTCGTTTAGTAATCCCTCTGGATGCAAATTTTGCTGTCATATGCGTGCCCAACGCCTGATTTCACTACATTTCAAAGCCTCATATTTCTCTTGATAAGCCGATTTCTCCGTTTTCCCCTCCCCTCTTGCAATTTTCTAGGCTAACACTTTCACTGTTCGTCTTATATTGAAATATCCCAAAATTATGGTGAACTGTGCCTTCAAAAAATCTTCGACCTTTATTAGTCCTACTTTAAGGTGAGTGTCATAGATAGTGATGTTATTGAAAAGGTGAGTGAATCAGAGTGTAAACTGAATTGCGAAAGAATCACAATGATGCTTCCAAGTGCACAAGACTCCCGCATCGATCTAATGCGCGTGTTAGCATACTCGAAGAAACCGTGGACCCCTTATTTTTTGTAAACAAGGTTGATGCGATCTAGACCGGTTTTTATTCTATAATAGTATAGTAGAAGATCAGTCCTCTCTAGCCTATTTTCAAGTATGTTGATCTCTAGCGGCTTTTTGGAGCACTGTCGGGAATATTCAATTTGATGTTTCATTTTCATCAATGCTGAAAAGAATTATGCTACATGTCCCCATTCAACACGAGTAGATATATAATCCATTCAGATGGGCTTTTATGCAAACTATGTGCAAGCTGATTCAACTCAAATTCAAAAGGGATAGCTTGGAAATGCAGGAAAACTTAATACAAGCAATGTAATATCAAATAACAATGTAATATAAAAATTAAATAATTTTAATTATTTTCAATTTTTGATTATAATAATTTTGATAATATAAAAGTTCGTAAAACATACAATGTAATATAAAAATTCCGTGAGAATGTTCTTGGAGTATCAAAGTTTACACAACAGGAAACTGTGATATGCTTTTCAAACATATTTGCACTATACAAAGCATTAAGGATTTTTCAAATCATTGGCAGCACATAAGAGGCAGATACTTCCTCTGTAGGAATTTGAGCAACTCGACAGCCAAGCAATTGAATTCGCAGCAGCCTTTCATTTCCTTTACCTTGTTTTCAAAGTAGCGATCCTGTTCAACCGGTTGTTCTAAGGGTTTTGTCCTCTTTCATGCTTTCTGCGTGTAAACGGAAAATTGGTCCGTAGAGGCTATAGGCCTACAATGTGCACTCCTTTCTCGACTGGTTCCTTATGCTATCAGTCCTAATGGTGAAGAGGCAAAATGCACAGTGACTGCATATTCATATATTGTGAGGGTCATGGACATGGAGTAATATATCTCAGCCGTATTCAATATACTTCCTCGATCTCATTATAGTCGCGTTCTTCGAAATAACACGGCACTGCAGACTCATCAAGTGTGTCCTCCTGGAAAAATTCAGTAAAATGCAAAGAATCGCCGAAGTCAAGATGAAAGCGAATTTCTGAGTTCACATTTTATTAAGTTTACAAATTCCATTAGGCAGTGATAAATAGACAGCTATGCGACGGTTTAATCCAAAAAGGATTGCCGGTTTAGTCAGAGCCTAGGTTTCGAGGAAATGTGTTCAATGAAATGTATTGTAAAGCAGATACATGGAATTCTAGACTGAACACTCATGTTTTAGGAAAACGACGTAGCCCACTGGATCATTTCATTGTATGTTTCATCCTGAGACTTCTCGTGAAAGGTCTAAAAAAATCAGTGGAAAACAAGTGTGGACCTTGTCAAGCCATCCACGCTCTTTTCACGAGAGGGATGTAGATGTCGCTGTGGGGCATAAACATCAAAAATCTCATGTGAACATTAAACTTCTCCTTCTAGATCGAAAATGCGTTTTTCTGGAATATTTGGCTATCACATGGCAACAGCGTCAGACCGTGCTGTGGTGCTTACAACGAATGAGCGTGATGCTTTAGCAATCTACGAAGCGACGAGTGGAGCTTTAGTATTCTCGCTTACGCATGGAGAACGTATCGACAAAAATGTTTGTAAATAACAGTAATCAAACGTCCCTATTCCTAATTTTCAATAGCGTAATCACAGCTCGTAATCCTAAATTTAGATGTTCCCGTACTTGGAAGAGTTTGAAAAAATTTTTCTGTGGTTTCCTTCTCGTCACTTAGAATACGCGAAGGAATGGGGATATGCATTGAATGGTTCCAGGTGTTATCTTATACGGTTGGAAATATTTGATTCAAGTTTAATGACCTAGTCCTTCTGATGAAAGGTAGGCACAATTTCCAGGAATATCGAGAGACCAATCGAATTGGTGAGAAACGGGAAACATAACGAAGTGAAGTACATTCTCAGCCGAGAAGCGGTAGGTCGTACAGTTGAACGACGACGGTAATTTTTCTTCTTTCAAGGTGCGAGTTCGTGAGAAAGGTTTTCGCTCATTGACCGACATACGTGAAGAAGTGAAGGCAGACCTGATCAATTCCAGTACACGGCAACTAGGCTTTGCGCAGGTAGGATCAATTTCCTCTCAAATTACGAGCTGTTTCTGGGGAACTGGTCTTATTTTTGATAACAGACCGTCGTCCATTCCAGCTTCGCAATTGTACTCCTGAACCTACTTTGTCAAGATGTTGAAGCAAGCATAGAATGGCTCGAAAGTTCTGATCGTTCTCGTTAAAGTCTAATCCTCGTTTCTGATTGGGTGCATTCGGATCCATCAACCGCATTTCCGCTGAGTAAAGTTGCCTTTCATGATTCTTGCTCATTGGCCATCATTCGCTGCCGTAGAACATTACCGACTATCCACTCCTCTATACAACTTTCCTCCATGAGTCTTGGAACACCGACGGAGAAAAGGATACCGGTGAGCTACCTCAACTGCATCCACGCCGTGTTTACTCGCGCTTTTACGTGCTGGTCCACAGTTCCGTCAACAGACAGGTCGCTCCCCAAATATCGTAAATTCTGCACTCTCGCCATAGCTTTCCCTAGACTATTTACGTTTTATCCTGCTCAGTTCTCCGAGCTGAGGATTTCGACGTTTTTCACGATTACTCAAAGCCCATTCTCCTCTGCTTTCTGCCATTTTTGCCGCTCGTCTGTAGCTCTTCCTGACTATCCGCTATCAGAGCGATGTCATCAGTGTGGGAGATGGTCATTAGTAGTCCATCCGAAAGCTTGTTTGTGATGACATCCAATGTTAGCAGGAAGAGGAACGAGCCTATGGATAATCCTTGATGTACGCCAACCATGACGTACATGGCTCCTGCTAGGCCGTGAGGAATTGATGTTTGTTCTAGACACACCGTACATGTCCTCGATCAAAGAAATCAAGGTTAGGTAGTAGGGTCAGCGCTTCTGTCAATATTTCTCCATCACTTTTCTGGAAACGACATCTGTTTTCGACCTTCCTGACATGAAGCCAATTTATTCCTGTGAAATTGAGATCAGTACCCTCAACTCTAAGCCGACTGACTGCCCACACAGTTCCATCGTGTGTGCAGTTAGCCTGATCCCACGGTAATCCGAACAGTCCATCGCATATCCCTCTGTTCGAACTGGGAATAATAGTACTGCTTCCATCCGGGATTCTTCCTCCAAAGGTCACTGTGTTCAGGAATTGAGTGAGCCACCTAATCGCATGTTCTGGAGCGCCCTCCATGTTCCGATTGGCACACCATCCCGGCCACTTGCTTTCCAAGCCTTCATTTACCCAATTGCTCGACAGACCTCTTTCTCTGGTCAAGAAGCGATGGGCTGAACTGTAACCTCAACGTGGGAACTGTGCTTTCGGTAAATTTCTCCACATAGAATTCTGATGAAATATTCTTTCCATAACTGACCCCTCCAGGCTTCCTTAGAACTGCACGCTCGCTGATTTCGACGACTTCACTCTATGGATGTCCTGAGCTGCCCAGTATCGCCCTTCGGCTGGCCCGAAAACGGACTTTTCCCATCGAACATCGAGCTTTTCGTATGACGAACTCCGTGTTTTCTACATTAATTTAAGCTGACTTGATGAGCCTCTTGCGATTTCTGTGGGCAACTTGGTCTTCCAGAGTTCGCGTCTTTTGCCAGCTTCGTAGACGGTTTCCTTCTGCCCAGCAATTCGCTGAACTTCATGTTCCAAAACCACGCTACCTTGTCTCTTCTCACCCCGCCACGCATCTCATCCAGTGTTTTTTTTGCGTGCTGAGGGTGACTTTTATTGCGTCCTCCCATGATTGCTAGACCGGTTCTCGAGGGATCGAAAGGCCAATTTCCAGAGTTCTATGCTTGAAGCCGCCTTTTCCTGCATGGTGCATGGTTCGAAGACTACCTCCGACAGGACAGGCCTATGTTGCGGGTCCATTACAATTTCAAGGAGTGTTCTTTTGAATAGCAAATAATCGATTTCCGACTCTTCCCCCACACCGTTGCAGGTCACTTCCTGAATCCCGCGAGCAATGGGTTGCAGATTGCTAGGTCGTTAGCTGTTGCCATCCAGTTATCCTTTCTCCAATTCGTTCCTGACTTCAACTCCTTTACCACAATAAACCCTTTCTAGGCTCCTCCGTACCCTACGGACGTGGTCATTCAGATCAGCCGCTATGGAGAGATACTTTCCTTTCGAAACTGATCTGATGCTCTCGTCAATATTCATATAGCATTCGTCCTTTCGTACTCGAGGCAGCCGTCTGGCGGCGCGTTCACCGATATTATTGCCGGTGCCCCTCTTTCGTTTCCATTCTTATGGCCAAGATTCAACCACTGATCCTGTTGACGGCTGTCACAAGCTCTTTGAAGTGTATGGCGACCACTACGGCCACACCATTTCGTTTGTCTTATGTCTTCTCCGTTGTAGTGAAGCTTGACACCTTTTCCGGTTACTCAGCCTTTGCTCCTCTCCAGCGTGTCTTCTGAAATCCTGGGACTTGGATGTTTCTTTGCTTCATGAGATTAAAAATTTCTCAAAACTCCCCAGTGAGTGATCCCACGTCCAAAGTCCCGATTCGAACTAACTTCCTTGGCCCAGGACATCCACTCCTCCGTCGCCCTCGCATTCCGCAGACAGAACTTGGGCAAAGGTCATGTGCGCCATTTCCGGGTGACATTTCTGCTTTTATGCTGGTTTCTTTGGAGGCTCCTTCATTAGCCGGCCTATCAACTTGGGCCTGACGCTGGTACCGACACCAATTTTTGCAATTTTCGCAGGGTATTGCCTTTCTCTGTCTCTTTGCTCCGGCAGAGATCGAACTCATGTTCTTTTCTGAGTGCAATTGTAAGCCTACACTCTAAACCACTCGGCTATCACTGCTGTGATGGATTGCTGTGATCTGACAATACCTGAAATGCTTTAAGTAACTTCTGAGAGCAGCATTTGCTGTCCGGTATGCCAAGAGAAGGAAAGGTGAGTGAACCTACTCGTCATCTTTCTCTATTTCCACTATCATATTGTAGGGTTGAAAGTCGCTTCTTTGAGAAAAGCGAGCATATCCAACAAAGAACACACTTCCGTTGGTCTCTACTCCTTTAATTTGATGATTTCAGCCCATTCCACTCTTTTTAGAAGCATTAATCTAGCATGTTTTTGTCAATGAACGGATTAATATTGGAGTTAGTGGAAACTGCTCTCAGACATCTAGCCTTCGTACTCATACTAATATATCTAGCCACAAAGTGGTAGTAATCGGCTAATTCTCTTCTCCTTTTTTACAACAAATAGTATTTTCTCTAGATGTATGACAATAGATGTTTGACAAAGGACGCACAGCACCATGCAAATGGTAATCACTGTAGCGTGCCTACACCTTTGATTGAAAGTCTCGATCTTTTGCTTTTACTTAAAAGTAAATGCACTGAAAGATTCGACGTTAGGCAACTAAAGCCTTGGGCGGTACTCACAAATGTTTCGAGTGATGATAACATCGTTATCAGATGCCAATATCAATGAAGCTTTTTCCTTGATACTTGGTAGCATTAGATGAGAGTTCCAGATTACTAGTGGTCTCCTAGGTTTTGCTACAATGACATCGACAAAAGGGATCCTTCATTAAGTCAAAAACCTTGCGGATAGCGGTCGCAATCTAATGGCAAGAAATGAACAAAATTTTCATCTGCTCATCGTAGTGCAGCTAATGAGTCCCTATCATTGCACGTACCACTCGCTATTGTCCCCTACTCTACTATCTCGTCTCATCGAATGAAACATACTGAACAGTCAAAGTACGTTGTAAATACCGAAGACATTAGGATTTTGATCGGTAGGTGACCTCTCTTAGACCTTATTTCCCTTTATCGATTATTATCGGTTCCTGTCACCGAGCGTCTACGATCCTGTCATATTCTACATCACTTGCTGAAATACCGAGATTCACTGTCAAAGCTGTGAAAGCTGTAATCCTACCGAATTTGAAAATTCTACGTCCACGAGAACAGGGGCTATGAAGTTCCGGCCAATATTTACTGCCTGCACAGAACCTGCCCTATAGAATGAGTTTGGTCCTGCTACCCATCAAAAGTGTTCTCATCCTGACGCCTGTACTCTTACCAAATTTCTGCGCTCTAGGTTCACGGGAACACGAGTTATGTATCTCCGGTCTAACACACACTGACGCACACACACAAACACACCGACAAACCAACAGACACACTTAGCGAATTATATATAGTAGGATTACAGCATGTCGTCAAGTATATATGTTTTTTGAGATTTCTGGAACCCTAACCTAGTTCTTCCAGGTATTCCAGAGATCCCTTTAAAGGTCGGACATGGTACTTAGCATTATCCACAGCACCCTGCTTTTGGAAAGTGGGTTCAAATGCAATAGACTGTTAACAGTGCTCGAGTGTGCAGTGTTCTGTCAAGGCACAAATCTACCCTTTTCGGTCAGCTAAGAAAAGCGCGTTTAAATTCATGCAACTACAACACAGGAACCAGCGCTCTCACAATGCCGCGTGTTAATATTCCAACAATTGCTGAAATAATCTACCCTGGTCCGCTCCAAATAGTAATCACCAAATAACGATAGACGAACGAGCGAAGAAAAAACCTGCTCCAGTTCCTTCCGAAATCCGTAGAGAAAGTATGTTTAAGGAAGGAGTTTCATCGCAGAATTCAATATTGCACCAACGAAGCCATTACAGTAAGTGATGGTTGCGATCGGTAGCGGACATCTGATTTCCTTTGTGCGAAAGTAGCTAACAAGAAAGGAAGCCGGTCTTCAGAATATTTGGGAGGTTGCACGGTAAGGACCCTTCTTCCGCTTTAAAGCTCATAGGAGAACATTGGTCTGCATTACCAGCTTTGGTCTTTAGCACACTTTTCTAATGCGTGGGTGGACACTTTAAGATTGAAACATGTGTAAAACTCTCACACGGAATGTCCAACTTGGTCACTTTATTCCATTTGCAATCCATACAAGAAAATGGGTGCCTCCATTTTCATGACGAGGAAACACAACTTGCTTTTGGTACTCAACCACCTACACAGAGATCTTTGATTGATTTTTACGCCTTATCACGCTCGGTCCGTCTACTGACCAACTCTCTTTGGATTTTTCTTTGTAAGACAAATACGAAGGCTAGAGCTAACTTTTTCACTAAAATAATTTTTTTTATTTCCGGAAATATCGACAAGAAATACGGCATGCTCAGGATGAAAGCTGAGTCAGAAGAGGCTTGTTACAGCACTAGGCAAGAGAGATCTTTAAAAGTTCCTTTTCCCAATCTGAAATTGGAAACTGAGGTATTGGTCAAACTCCTTACTTTTCTCCATTTTTCAGTTGTTTTCTCTAGCCTTTTTTAGTTGCATCGGTTTCTTCAAACCAGTCGTTTTGACAGCTTTTTGGTGTATCATTCGATCCTGTTGCGTACTCTTCTCTGTCTTCAAAACTGACACGATGAACAGTGAAGAGTGTTGAAAAATTTCATGGTGCTTTCAAGTGGTCGTGTATTTTGCTTGACTTACTGCCAATGATACTTAGAGGAAAAAATCTCCATGGTGAAGCGCGGCTTTGCAGAATGCATCCGATGCAGGGCTCTGTAACATTGAAAATGAATAGATGTCCAACCACAATGTCCATATGAAAGTCCTTTTCTCACACATGACTTCACTTGGCTGCTATAGAGTATGTTGTGCAGTGTAAAAAGCAGAATGTATGCATGCCCAATTCACCAGTTCTTTCAGAAAATAAAAAACACGGAATGTTCTATTTTGTGCCTGCTGTGATTGGATTTGGGTTCCGAACTTCAAGAATGACTTACAACGAGTAGATCTATTTCACTACGCTTGAGAAGGTGGCGTACTGGTTTTCAAGCTTTACCATGATTAAATTATGTGAAAGTACGACTTTGGTGAATTTGTGAATCATAAACGCAATACTGTTTATTGAAAATTTTCAGTGAGTCCAAAGGTCGGTCGAAGTGCTCTATTGTTTGACTTTCGGAACACCACATTCTTAGTTTTTACCAACATAAGCGCATTTATTGCAACTCCCCGTTCTATCTTGATGGCATTCCACTATCCTCCAAAACAGGGAAAACGTAGTAATTAATCATCCAAAGCTCAAATGTTTATATGCCTTTCGAATCTTCGAACTCAGCGGTTTCTTATCTGAGCGCCTTCCAACTAATCTGCTGCAGTAAACCATGTTGCCTCAGTTCGTTCCTGTTGCTGATAGTTAGTCCATCAATACCATTGAATTGATCGGCCTTCGAAAGTAGAACGATGCGCTTATCCTGGCGAATGAATGTTGAAAACGGCCTGTCCGTTCTCGGAGCATTGAATGCGATGCTCCTCTCGCGAAAACAAGTAGAAATTGATGACACTATGCATTCTGGAATTTTCACCATTCTCGCAATCCTTGCACCTCTCATGCCTGCTTCCTTCACATTCGCTATTGTTTTACGTATGGCTTTCAAAGTTTCGGCCTTCTTGACATCGAGGTGAGTCTTTTAGGGGAAAGACGGAAAATAACCGTTGCAAAAAATATCGCTGGAGATAGCGGGAGTATAACTGGTACAATCTTTCATAATTTTTGACGACGAAACGTGTCAAACTTGACGCAAGTTGGTTAAGCAATAGAAGTGCAATTAAAAGAGCGTCCAACGTACCCTTTCGAATACTGCTGTAGACAGGGGGGGGGGGCGAAATCATTGTCGTTATTGATGGCAATATATTCAGAGCTTGTGAGCTGAGAATGACAGTAAAATCTATGTAGACGTTCGCTAAATTATATGCTACAACATGCTACAATCACAATTCGAAATATCCTCCATGAGCGCGAATAGGGACCCAACTTTGTTACCTTCTAACCAGGGCCATACAAAGGAGTTAAGTGACTTAAGATCTGGGAAACAGGATGACCATTTATCTTCGCTAATGAAAACGGGCAGCCACCGTGCCCTACAACCGGACAAGCTTGGCTCTGTAGACTTAAGTACCGTCCTGTTGGAAGGACTGAGAGCTGTTTTAAGAAATGGAGTCGGATCAACAATTTACTGCGTCTGACAGGATGCTCTTTAAGTATAGGTCTTTCTTAATTTTCACGCCGGCACAAACGAAACCATAGTCGTCTTACCACTGCCAGTGGCTCCCTCCATAAACATCATTTGCAGCTCTTATGGCACTTTTTTGTGAAAGTACGATCGATTCTGTCTATAGCCAGAACGAAGTCGTTTATTTGTTGGGGAATGGTTTTGTCATAAAAATTTTCTACTCAGAGAAAATGATGAATAATTGCGTGCTGTCTTTCGAATGAGTTAGCAACTTTCTAGATTTTCGGCTCTACACTGTCTGTTTAGATCGGTAATGAAGAAGCATTTTCTGCATATGGTAGATACCAAGCATTCTTTCTGTCTCACCAATAGATGTTTCATCACAGGCCTAGCACTGCATTTGATACACCATCCTTCGCTGATCGCAATCTCCATTTTCTCTGGATGGACAAACGACGCATTCACCCGTACAGCATGCACGGTCATAAAGCCTACTTTGGATTAGTTGATCTTCGATATTGTTTCCTGGTAGGTTATTCAAGACAACATCCATGAGCCAAACTTGCTCGTGCACTGCACTGCCAGATTTCTGCGCCAACTTTGTCTGATATAAAAGGAAGTTGGAGATACACTATAGCCTGATGCAATATTTCTTGTACAGAACTTTTGTTAGCCTGATCTTCCGTGTTGTGCCCCGTAACCACTCAACTTTGCAATCTTGAATGCTAGTTTACGAGACTCTTCCCTTTCCAATTCAGCAAAGATGGCACTACTTAGAAAAGAGGGGGAAAACAATGTCAAAGAAGTGAGTGAAATGGGTGAAATATCGATGATGCATTTTGAATGCACTATCCATCAATTGAGTGTGTCATCTGAAATACATGTGTGAAATGACCGATATCTGCTTTTGTTTCCATGGAAACGGATGCAAAGCTTTTTCACGTCTTATATTGACTACCTACGATCCTTGAGGAATTAGGGTGACGAAAATTCAAAGAGAACTCCCCCTTGCCACTACTGACCGAACAGTGATGCCTTCTTGCCTCAAACACGCAAGATAGTGTCGCGAAATCTGCAAAAGATTTATCACTTCGACATATGGTGTCGAATGACTTTTCTGACCAAAGCCATCTTCACGAGAGGTGTTGCCCTCTTTCTTGAAGGTACTGTTTTCGCCCTCGGATCTATTAAAATGCGCCCGTAAAATTAAACTGACAATATAAAATATTGTCGTAATAATAGTGAAAAATTGTGGTTTTTACATATATGCCATTAAAACATTCGCCAAGGAAAGCTCTCTTGCGGTAAAACTAGTGATGCGGTGCGACACGGTAACACGGCTTGGCTCAAAACCTTGAATCCATCTATAGCTTGCTCGAAAGATGTCCCATGGTGGACCCCATTATTAATTTTTGGGGCAGTCAAACAATGTGGTCAAGGTCAGGGTCGCTTTTGTACAATGAGATTCCTATTCTTATTCCGAAATAACTCCTTTTAATTTTTTTGATAGTCTCTAAATCTCAACAGATCGACATGTTTGCCTTGCGTCTAGTAGTCACAACCACATAAGTCGATATAAGTTGTGAAAAATAGATTGTGTTTCGGAAGTTCAGTTTCTTTCTAACCTCCCAAACTTTCGTTGGTGATAGAACAATACTTGCTCGACATACATACATGAGGGAGTGCGGCTCTCTCTGTCACTCAAACGACGGAAGCCTCTAATTTCTTCCAACACAAAGTTCAAGCTCATGAACGGGATAATGAAGTTTGAGGTGCCTCCTGCTCAGGCACTAGTACATCCTCAAAAAGGTGCGAATTTTCTTTCTGTGATTTGTTGGATCTGTCGTGGATTCTATCACTGACTCGTCTTCTTTGCATTCGATAACGAGGTTGTCACTCATGACCCCAAAAATAGGCGAAAAGCTTTTCATTTCCTCCCGTCCCTTCTTGGATGGTGCTCACGTTATGTTGCATGAACCATAGTCCGTTCACAAATGCGATGACACCGCGGTCGGGCAGAACAGTTTACTAGTAGAATGTTGAAGAGTTCGGTAATTCTTATTTACTCGAACGGAGCTACACCCTTATTTGGCCGGTGAAGGACAAGAAAGACTTTTCTTGAAAAACACTTCCAGTGTTGGCAAAACAAAAGAAGCATTGAAAGGGAGCCATTGTGAGGCGCAAAATCGCTCAACGCACGTTTCAGATAAAGCAAAAAAAACAAGTGCATCAGTTAATCGAGTTTCCATCATTGCTTATGAATCCGCCGCCCCACTAAGTGTGCCACCAATGCACAACTGCTTCCTGCCCGGTTCCTTTATATGTTTACCGCAGTGGCATTACACTTGGCGAGAGGGGACTTTTCTGTAACTTTGCCCTCGAGATCCTTTCACAGGATCTTGACAGCTAAGTCCTTTGGGCTTCATCCACAGAATCGTTTCGTAAATTTGAATGCAATTTTAACATCAGTGTTCGTAAATGCCTACGCAGTATACACCTTTTGTCGAATGGCCACTACGACCAAATATCCTTCCTTCGTTAGTTGCTCGTACCCTGCTGGTGTCAGAACTTCATAACCCCTCTGAGCCAGATAACCCTGCACTGACGAGCTGTTGCTGGACCAGCACTTATATCGTCCTTAACGGATGTACTGCAGAATAATCTGTTTAACCATCAAAATCTACTACATTGTCTGATTGGCATGGCATGATTGGAACTTATGTCAGATTATGATTCTTCCAAGACTATGCCCTTGCTCTTTTCGGGTGCTTCTGATCCATAAACTGTAACCTCATTCGCAACTCGTAGCGGCCTCCGTATGGTACCATGAAAAACCATGTACAATGCAATGACGACTAATAATTTCATGCGCACACCGCACAATTTCATGTGCACCGGGGCGCGTGGTAGTTATCGCTTTATGACGCACTGGTTTTACCATGAGAAGAAATCGCAGCCGTCCCCACCCAGGGTCTTCGCTTTGGTTTCCGATACCTAGACTTTATAGACATATGTATCGGTCTCTGAAATCACTTTTTTTTGCTCGGTTCACTCTCAATATTCTTCAAGACTAAAAGGAATGCAGAGTGAAATTCAACAGTGATAGTGGAAGCACTTCCTCGAGTTGGATGGTGTTGAAGCTGCAATTCTATGTTAAGATACGTCGTGACTGTCGTGTATCGGTGTAGAAAAAGCCTTTTCACTTCTAAAGATAGTGTTTCACCTCTTGCCCACTCCAGTGTAATGCTACATGACAATGCGGCAATAAAGGAACTCCCACGTTGGACGTTTTTGCAGTATCCAACTGTTTTCGTCTCGGCAGAAGTCTAACGAAGATTGAATGACCAGTCACTCCTTCTTTTAAGGTTCGCTGCATCTGCTTCCAACCGAGGCCACAATGGTTCTCGAAAGCGTTCTGGATTCAACCATCAACATTCCCATTTACGAGTGTCCAGGATGTAAGGATGACATGGCTGGATTGGATTCTAGATGTGAACTGTGATCATATGTGTGATAGTCGCACTTCTGCCCAAACTAAGCATAGTTTGATCGGGAAGGAAGTGGCAGTGTTCTCTGTATCGTTGTCAATCAATTCTGTGACGCTGAAGCATTTTTGAAAAGCATCATCTAAGACGCAACATGTGAGCGTAGGGAAAACTGCGGCACGTTTGGACTGAGCGAAATCTCAAAACTCCACTACCTGAGCATATTTCCTTGAAGGAAACATTTCGCTGTCTGCTATCATACAAAATGAAGTTAAGCGCGAGAAACGTCGCCACCATTTTGACAACTTCATTTTTTTAAGATACCGGCAGCCACGACAACATCGTAATTGTCTTATATCGTCAATTAAACTCGGAATTAATCATGATAGATAGTGTGGAGCATTTACTTGGTTTTTTTTTTGAACAATTGATTCAGTGGAGGCGCTTCTCACTTCTCAACAAATACCTGCTGGGACTTCGTCCAGGCGAGCTGACTGTAATAACAGGCGGTACGGGGTCTGGAAAAACCACTTTTCTGTGCGAGTACACGCTCGACTTATTTAATCAAGGAGTGAGTTCTCTTGAAATTTTTATTCATTGCAAAATTGAAAGTGTGAAAGTTTCGAGTGAGAATGAAAGATCACCACAGATTTATTAGGTGAGTGGCTCTATCCTGGTCGTACTATTTTTGTAATCACAGGTTCGAACGATTTTCTGCAGTTTTGAAATGCCTGAAGAAAAAATCTTGAAGTGGATGCTCATTCAATACGCCGGGTATGTTTTATTTTCTGTAATGATCTTTTCGTTATCTTGCGCAATATGACTTTGTAATTATTAGTATCTGTGCAGTCCCTCACATCTTCGAAGCCTGGCGCGCACCCTCACGTATAGAAACGGAATCAAGTAAGCTGGACGTGTAGTCCCATAACTACTCTCTGCATGTCGTAATGAATTTGCATGTTTGTTCTAGACCCTAACTTACAGCGGAACTCAGTTTTATAGTTTTGTTGAGCTTACGCCTCAGACTACAAGCGTATTGCGAGACTCAGCGTAGAAAGTTGAGCTCAATCGAAGGTTTCCTGACCAGCTTCTTCTCCAGATTATTGCCAACGGGAGTTGCTTTGTTCTGAATAAGGTGTAGAACTTTAATATAATTCATGTGTCCTAGGCCAGATTGGTTCGGACAACCAAGTGAAATGTGAACAAGATAAGAGTAAGTGAGCTCAATGAAAGAAAGGGAATGCAGTTACATGTTATTTAAAGAGTGAAGTGTGCTCACAAGGTTGCAAAAATTCGTTTCGAGTAAGATGATGAGGAGCGATTTATGATACTGTAGGACGAGAAATTTATCTTTCTAGCCCACTCATTTTATGAAATCGACACAAAAAGACATATCGTTTACTCAGAAATACTGTATTATTGGACTACACTCGATTCAAGAAGAGCTGCTCCACTCAGTACAACCCACAAAATCAGAGAGCCTTCGTAAGTGCACAACACATTTCTTCAAGAGCTGGACTTGTAAAGAAGCGACATCTATCAATTAATATGTCCATGAGCACCCTCAGGGTCTAAAACACTTTTGACATGGAACCAAAACTGAAATCGACATGCTTTCAAATGCACGACGAGCCACAAAATTTACGAGAAAAGTGAATCAAAAAGCGGTTTTTAGAAGACTCGATAGATAATGGGTTGACTCATAAGTTTCCCGCTGGGTTTCTGCATTCTGTTCTGCCATCGCAGCAGCAGGCGACGCTCCTCAACTTGCATTTGCATCCCTCAATGTCGCACAATCATCACTTATCACTTTTCGAGAAGATTAATAACTTGTAATGCTCTCCTCACTCTTTAAAATAGCACCACCTTCTGGATCCGATGGTCACTGGAAATAAGAAACATCTACGATGATCTGTGAGGAAACGGCATGGCCTCTCGAGGGAGATTCGCCTAAACCAGTCCCAAAGCGCCAAGAAAGTTCTCCTCCTTTCTTAGTGATTTGGAAAAAGTGTGGAAGAGCTAGGGAGCTGCTGGAAAAGGTATGGGCGATTAACGCCGCCAAATACGTAGCGCGGTTGTAGAAACGTTTTGATTCAGCTCATGTCGGTCGCGCGGTTGTGGTCGTACGTTTAAAGGACAACTTTTCATTCACCAGATCACAGAATGCGGGGCTTGAGAGTGCACTCGGAAGACATCTGCAGATAATTACACGGTTTGTAGAGCAAATCCACAAAGCTGATGTTTAGAAGTGTTCAGAAGAACATTGAACAATACGATACAGATATTCCTAGAGTTGTATATTCCAACTTTTCCAACACATCAAATGAGCTTTGATGAGGCCACGGACCACTTAAGGAGGGGACCATATCACTACAGCGCGTGACCTGAATTGCCACGATGGCAGTGAGCGAAGGAGACTAGGGAGGGTTCACGGTGGGATAGGAGTCAGAAATGAAAAAGGGGAGAGGTATAGCAGGATGGCCATGGCACACGACCTATCGGTTTGTAGCACGTGTATCTTAGAAAGAGAGACTCAGAAGATAAAATACAGCGGTCTGGAAAGACAGCTAGAAATTGACCATGTGCTCGTAAGAAGATGTACTTCACAACTGCAGAGGATGCAGAGGAACTGCTCAGAGAGGAACTAGTCTCGCAATATGGAAGTATTGAAAAAAGCGTGGATCCAGCAGTCAATCCTTCTCCGATTCGAAGGAAGCATTTGACGCTCAAGATAACCACGCCCTTCAAATAGAGTTCTGAGAAGGGAAAGCCTCGGAATACCTAATCTCGATGGACATGAACGACTGGTTCCAAACACTATACACACTCTTCACGGTCTAATAAATACGGCAGACGTCGGAACTGGGCGTGCTAAGAGGTTAGCTTCGAGCCCTTTCTTTTCTCGGCTTACAATAGACTTCACCACAAACAAGATCCTGCATAGATCTCTAAGGACCAATCTCTACGCTGATCACATTGCCCCGATGTCGGAGAGCAAAGAAGAACTTCTACCGCAAACTTCCATTACAAGTTGCAAAAATTGCAGAAGGTGCTAACTGAGAACGAGTTCTATTGGACAAAAAGAAGACAAGGTTCTTCAGACCCGAGGCGTCATCCGTAAACTGTTTCAAATAAGCCATCAGGAAGTACCTCTTATACCTGGAGAGTGACCTATCCGCAGATTGTGGCCTGGATCAGTCCGAAACGAAAGTATGAACGAAGTGGGGGCATTCACTGCTACCCCATGGACGGTGCGACGTCACACCCAGAGGAAAGCTGTACTGTATATGTAGTATGTATGAAGGCCTGCACTGCAAGGTATGAATTCCTGACCTAACACCAATTTCGCGAGCGTGACTTGAGCTGATCTTTGCTCTACTCGATTGAAGCACTCGAAACCAACTGAATGCGAATGCACTGAGGAACTGAAAAGGTTACGGTCGAGCATGAAATGGCAAAACGAGGGCTAAAATTAGCACTTCTGTCTGCATGCGTTCTTCTAATCAAGGGCGAGAACCTAATAGAGGCTAGCGTGGACAGAGAAGACATGGCAGTGGGACGAGCGTGGAAGTGGGCGGGCTAAAGAGGAAGAATATTGGCCGACACTCCAATTTCCTACGTCGAGCTATTAAAAAATTTTCCGGCCATTTACATTCACTATCCCTGTGACCTTACGGAGTTCGAACTCAGAGAGAGTTGAAGAGATGCGATGGAAATACAATACCCACCCTAATTATTCGAAAAAAAGGCGAAAAAGACGCACATTCGCGTCTTTTTCGTCTTTTCTCTATAACTAGGTGAGTTTACACTT